CCCCAAAACCCCAAAACCCCAAAACCCCTTGTCTCCTTTAAATAGTTGAAATGATTTACCAAACCAATATTAATATAATATAAGATATACCTTAGTCTATTAAGCATTTTTAATACATTTATTATTCCTTCTCAGACTTCTCTCTTTGACTCTTCTCTTTTGTCAGTTTTTGTTTATGCTCCGAAATTATATCTCTGAGATTAAATCCAATAACCCGATGCTTCTCTTGAGCTTGGTCTGATCTCCTCTAAGTTTTCAAATAGATATTTGTCTTTTCATTTTCTCAACTACAACTTCTCTCTGAGATTTTAGATAAAGATTAGCTTTCATACTGTCAACTGCTGTATAAATTCTATTCTTTTGTGACTCAATGTCCTTCTTAGAAGACTCAAGTTCATTTTCTGATTGATGCAGCTTAGACTCGCACATTTGAGTAATTTCTTCGTTGAATTTTATAAGCTTCTGAAAAGTTTCTTGTATTGCTTTATGTATCTTCAATTACCCTTCTTTATAGGAAATTTTGTAAAAAATTTACCTAGGTTAAGCTTGTTATCGAGATCAGCTACCTCCTCTTCTTGATTGGTATTCAAATTTTCCAACAAAATGATCAAAATTTCAATTTTTCAAAACTAATGCACAATTTCATTATAATTATCAAATAAATATGCTTCCAATGTTACAACTGGTTTTCATAATTTTTTATAATTTCTTTTCTTTGAGCTCATAAGGTTTATTAAAGCCCTCTTTAATCTTACCACATTCATACCTCCCTAAAATATTCCACTAAAATTTCAACTTCCCTAAAACCTCAAAATCCCAAATCTTTCCCCAATATCCAAACAAACGACACATCTCATCCACCTTTTCAACATGAATAGCTTGCATCTACCCCCTCATTAGTCCAATTCTTGATCAGGTTGTGTAACAACTAAGATCACATCAAAATTATTAATAAGGATAAAGTTCAAAAGAAGTTTGTAGCACTATTCCAACATTTCTTTGCTTGCTACTTTTTTATTAAGAAATTTTTGAGGCATTTGAAAGCTAAAACGAATCTAATACTACCTAGGTAATAAAGTCATAATAAATTTCTAAAAATGAGCCTGATATCAGGCCAATAAGAGATAAGCTTAAGAAGGAACCCCATAGATCATCCACATTGTCAAATGTTTTAAAGACACCCAGCTGGATCATTTATTTAGTTTAAGGGAAAGTTCTCAATAAATTCAAAAATTCTGAAAGATGGAATGGAAACAGACAATAAAAAATAAAATCGATGCAGAATCAGTTAATCCTGAAAGTGAATCCTTGATACTTCAGGAGCCTTGCTGTATAGTGAGTCAATGAACTGTTCAGTTTTGCCAAGTACTTCATGTTTTCCTTGACTTGATTGAGCGCTTTTGTCATCTTCACCTCTTGAGTTCTTCACCTATGACCCGGCAAGTAAATATTGTTTTCATCTTCGTCTCCAGAGTTTTTGAGGTTGTCTAATACCTTAGAACCATCAGGTAGAGAGGAAAATGAGGTTCTGCAAAAGAAAAGTGAGTTTCTGCATTCTCTTCCTGCAGAATTCGATGGTGTATCCTAGTAACTATTTGAGTAGTTAAGGAGATGCTTCTCCATGTGGTTGCTAAAGTTTCTAATGTTATGATTCCAATCAACTTATATACCTAATGTCAAACATTTTCAATATCATATAAAGTCTTAGGGGTTTTGGGGTTTTGGGGTTTTGGGGTTTTGGGG